TGCTTCACGATATCGCGCGGTCGAGACGATCACGAGGAGCGAGATACGAGCGTGGCTTTTATTACGCGCTAAATTATCGCTTGCGAACTCGATCACCGAGAGAGCTCTGCCTTTTCACGCCGCAGGATCACACTCCATCCGAATGATCAACTGTGACAATAATCGGAGTATTAATTGCGAATGCATATACATACATCGTCCACGTGACGATTGCAACGAATAACCCGCTAATTAACGGTATACGTTGTTTGATATGATTTGTGACGGCACGTTGCAAGCACGTGGATAGCTTAATCGTATTTTTGTTATAATTTTCAGTTATTTTCTATTCTCAATTATTGCATTAGTGATTATATGTCTAAAAAGAAGTAATTTTGAAAGTATAATAGAATTACTTTTACAAGTAATTTATAAGCTTATGCAATTTTACATTTGTTTAATATTCTTTTATTATAGTACTGATAAATTAGAAGCTTTCAGTAAATAAGAAATTATTGTATCGTATATATCTTACCCGAAAAATTATAATCTCTTGATGACAGTTTTTACTTGGCGATATCAAGAAAATAACTATACTATAAAAAGATTTGATAAAATTTCTAATGGTATTTATGAAAACTTTATATCTAACAAATAATTATATGGTATGTACAAGTATCATTATTGCCATCATAAAACCATGAATTTATGATTTAGAGATAAATGGCCAATATTTTTTAACTCCAATGTATATCTTCGTTTTTGGAGGACTTACTTGATTAAAGATTTTTAAAGTTTTTTATAAAGCTTTACAACGAAGTAAATATAAATTCGATGACGTCATTTAATAATAAGAATGACGTCATGACAGTATTTATTGAATCGTGAAGAATCGCTGACGTCCTTACAAGGTCTTTGCATAATCGCTATCCGTGACGTCACTCTGGCGTCACTGACCAGTGTGATAAGTATCTGATATCGATCTGGAGTATTATTATACTCCGTGCCTCCTGCGCGGTGTACACTCGATCGAGTATATCCTTATCCTTAATGAAAACATAATCGTTTGCGCGCGAGACTTAATGCTAGCTCTGGGAAAATTGCGCGTCCGAAGTGCCTCGCGTGCAATCACAAGACGCAGCAGGGTGGCTCGTAAGATGCCTCGTGCGTTTGCAAATAGAATAGGCGAAAAAAGCATCCGAGTAATTGGCACGTGTCTCCACGTGTAACTTGCTCGCGTCGGTAAGTTGCACGCGGCAGCTACGTCCTGAAGTACGCACATGCACATATTTGCATACACGCTTGCACGTGCGGCTGATCGGTACACGATTCATCGGCCACACCTACGTATTCACAATCGTGGGTGTTGGTGCGTACTACTTGCCATGCACCCGCTGTAATAGAAGCACCACCTGTATAACGACCATGCGAGGAAAGCTCAAGTCTTATGTCGATATAGAGAGAGAATGTGTTGACATTCTTGAGAGAGATCGATCGACAGGATTATCAGGAGTGTCGAACAATGTTGTACATCATTCCTCGGCGACGTTAGGCCATTATATACTTCTCGGCAAAGTCATATTATCATTATAGCAAAGTTTCATTATCACCGGCGCAGAGAGTGCATTATCTCGAAGAGCGTCCCGATATAGTCGGACTGTATTTTAGATTAGAAGGACGCATGCTTTTCGCGACTGGCATTCGATTGATTTCTCTTTTGTTTGTTTTGAAAATCGAGAAAGACAATTCCCAGTGAGAAATGACAATGGAGAATCGATGTCAATTCCAGCGCAGTTGTTAATCAAGTTATACCTAGCGCTTTCTTTCGCGACACTGTCTTGAAAATTTAATTTTTAATCGTATATATATATATGACACTCTAGTTTGCAACTTATTATCACTAATTCGATTTTTTAATAATAGAAGCTACGAGTTTCTATTATAGGTAGTTGATAAATGAAAATTTCACAAGGAAGAAATTCCACACGAGTTTGCTGCAAATTATAGATCGTTTAGAGTGGGCGTAACGGTCATTGAAGTCACAGATAAATATTTTACAAGAATCTAGGTTATTTCCTCGATGCACTTTGCACGCAGCCTTCGCCGAGTTAAAAAGAAAAGAAAAACACCAAAAGTCGTTGACAAAGTGCAGAGCGCGTGTAGACCGAAAAGTTCATAGATAAACGAATATTTTCAATAGCCGTATCATAATAAAACCGTAACCTTTTCGATAGTGAATAATTTTATACGTTGGTCGAAGAGCCTCGTACTCTTGATATGCGCCGTACCGTTCAAGTTATTAAGTCGTTAAAGTTATCATGAGAAAAAAATAAAAAGAGATACTGCGGATCATATAGGAAAAACCCTTTTTTTTGTAATTTTTTAAGCTATTGTACTTTTTTAGCGCCATGCGTATTATAATCAACATATAGTTATATACCCGGTTCGCTTTGTAATTAGCTACTAGATCCCGCAATGGATATTACGGCAAAAACGAAGACCTTATCTTATCGCGTTTAGGAGGAATATTAGCGGTGTTTAAGAAAACATTAAGCATATAGTCTCATATCTAAAACGGACTATAACAATTATATGTACGTCAGATAGAGAGAGAGAGAGAGAGAGAGAAGAGGGGAGAATTTTAACTTTAAATATACCACAGTCGCGTAAATATATTTAACACGTTTGACGTACAGGCGGATAAATTACAAAATCAACCATTTTATAAATCATTGGCGAGTATGTTTGATAAAGTCTCACAAATTGTAACAAATTAATATTGAGTTTGAGCAAAAGTTCATAGCATTACGAATTAATAAATTCATACTATAACTTTGTTCAGAATAAACGAAATTGAAATATAGAAAAAGGGTTCAAAGTTTAAAATCTTCTCTTTCGAAATAAAGCATTGCGTTTTTTGAGTTTTTGTGAGATTGGTAATTTTTATACATATACAGAAAACTATACGAGCTGAATAAAATGAAATTTTCTTCTCATTTTGTAGTTCTGTCACATGCTCAAAAAACTTGCAAAAATTTTCGACTTTTTAATATATGAAGGTTTAAGGTTTACCTGACAAAATTATATATTTTAAGTATATATATGTTCTTAAGATCTTTATGTTACTGAATTATTGAATTAAATAAAAGGAGCATTTTAACTTTGATTGCTCATAATTCTATTAAAAATAATTGTCCTGTAATTTAAAAACATATTCTTAGAGCTGAGACTTTGTCTTATCGAATGGTATAATTGCCAAATTTTTCTTAAAAACATGTAGACAAGTACAGTAGCGCTACTAACTTTTGTTCCACAATCCACTAAGTAGATTATTGCTATTTATTTCGTGCGTCATTCAGTTAATCCAACAACATTCCGGACTATTGACATTCTTGATCGAAGCTTCTGATATCTCATCGGCATAACGTTGTTTATAGATAATCGGAATTTATGTTATGCAGAATGTACTACGTACGTTTTTTGTGCGTCTGCATATCATATAAGACGTCTCGTAAAAAATTGAATTTTATATGAGTCTTTTATATTTACCTTCATCCTTTTTTAATAAAAATCATAATTAAGGTAATTAGAGAATTTCATACTAATTTAATATTATTTAATATTAATGAGATAAAATTATATATTTTCAATTTTCAAAATATAAATGACAAAACTTGTTTTTTATTCGATATCACGCAAGAGAAGTTTAATTTCATCAATTAGTTGTTCTGTGTCTCATAACTTTATTATAATGGTAGCAGAAACACAAAATTGATATTGCGATAAAGTTGCCGGAAAACGATAACGGACGAGTTTACGTTTTCTCATTCATCATCCAGAATATACATACATACGATGGTACATACTCTTAGTATACTCGCTATAAATATTACTGTTGTTATAAATTATCTGTCCTGACACTTTCTAGACATTTGAAAATGTCAACCAGCGTTACAAAAGGTGAGAATCATCGGCGTGGGAGGTGCCGAACGTTTCCTCGTTCTATTCTTATTGCTAATATGTATTTCGCTTTCGAGAAGCTTCGGGGATGATCTAGCAGCGAGCTTTCCCAGGATACCTACCTATCCCATCGCATAAAGGATCTGGACATCACCCTTTGAGAAAGCCGCTGCAGCGTGAGAACTGATGCTCAAAGTCGTTCGCTTCGGTAAAGGAATCGATAATTCGATATCCGTTCCGCGAACTTCGAAGACCAACGAGCTGGAACATCAGCTAAGCTCCGCGTCGGTGGGAATAAAAAATAATACGTGTTCGAGACAGAGAGAGAGAGAGAGAGAGAGAAAGAGAGGTCCTCACAATTTGTTTCTTCTCCCAACTCTCTTTTCTATATCTATAACTGAACTGCCTATATCGTGTCTCACACAACTTTTTTATATTAAATCTTTCAATGCTCATTACATTCGATATTTTCGTCAATTGATTACTGAAAACTGTTTATTTAAACAAAAAAAAAAAATAGAAAAATACATGCTGTATTTTACAGTATATTTTTAAACAAATAAGATTTTTACAAAATAATATAATTTCTTTTTTATATGACAAAAGTAAATATTCGTTTGAGTAAATATTATTTAGCAAATTTAAAACATTTTGAAAAAAAGATCCAAACTATTATATTTTACAATATTCTTAAGCTAAGATTTCTAATACAGAATATCGCAACATTTGTAACAATATAATTGTCTTATATGACAAAAAAATGTTTTGTTCTTATCAAGCTTCCTAATTTTTAATTTCGACTAACAGCTTAATTCTCGGAGAAAGTTGATAATGTATGGGTATGAAATTTCTACATAGAGAAGTTGAGAACCACTACGATGCAAGAGCAGGCGCATACTGTGCCGCGTCGGCAGATGAAGAATTCGTGCCGCTCTTCCCCCACTCTGTCAGCAGCAGTCGGCACCTCTCCCCACCACATTTCTCCCTTCAACCTACGCCGGCTACGGCAGGGTGATATAAGGACCCCGCCCGACGGCGTCGTTTCAGTTAGATCTGCGACGTTGTGAAGTGTGGGGTGCACGTGATCTCTCCGACCGACGTTCAAACGCCTCGTTCGATTTGCGACCGTTATTAAGGAGTAGTCGCTTCGCATCCGACGTCTACACGTCGTTCAGTGCACGCGTTAGAGGTCTTTCGATTCGAGGAATAGACGAGTAAGTCGATCGAGCATTCATTTAATGCGGCTCCTTTTGGAGCACGAGTGAGTGAGTGAGTGAGTGAGAGAGAATGACAGTGAACGCGGGCCGACGCGTATCGATGCGGCATGAGATTTCTATAAGTGAGTTTAGGGCTTATTAGGGACGACCACCGACGCGTCTATTTCTTTTTTTAATGTACGTTCAGAGCACCAAGTGGACAGAGACAGAGAGAGGATAAATTCTGGAAGACGTTCCACCACGGTATATTTTAGCCGTTCTTTTCGTGCAATTAAATTTTCCCCACTTTTACCTTTTCTGACTCTAATTATTTTGCTAAAATCGAGCCTCAATTTCTTCACAGTTTATCGTTATCTTGTACTCTTTAAGAACTCGAGAAAAGATTGAAAACGCTGATCGAGTGCTTATAAGTACTGTATAAATGCTTGAAAGAGAGAAGCGAGCATTCCGTGAGAGCATCAAAACAAACACGCATGTCGCCGAGTTAACTACAGCAGCTTACAGTTTTTATATCGTTTAGTTTTCTCTCCGATATCGCGATATTTTCGAGCATCTTTTACGGCATCTGGCACGCCTTCTTCCTTGTGTAGCAGAAGCTGCGTAATTCTGTTCTTCCGATACATCCGTGGCGACCCTCGAGGAGACGCTTTCACCACGATTTCGTTTCGAGAAAGCCAGAGATCCGAGAGGGAAAGAGAAAGAAGGAGAATTCTTTGTGTCGCAATATATCGAATTACGCAGTAAAAGACGACGGTCACGTTATGAATTTTATTGTGCACGCCGCGCCAGTTCCGCCTGATGTTAGAAAAGAGACACGACAGGGAAAAGGGAAAGACAGTCCACGTTGGAGTAACTGACAATACAACGCGAATTTGACGTGACACACGATCGAGACTTATGCTACATAGATCCTGTTCCGTGCTAAATGACGATGCAGTTTCTATCTCTCGAAGTTTCGCTAACAGTTTCTAGAATGTTAGTTCCTCTCGTCTCCAGCTTCAATCAATCAAAACGGACGGAAGGAAAGAAAAAGGATTGGAGTCTCATTTTTCAAAACTTGGAAGTTTCTGGACTCGCAATAAAAATTCATTTGGTTACTATTACTTGCCGGAAATGACGATTGCTTCTCGTCATCCATCATGTTAACGTAAGGACTCGAACACAATGGAGAAAGGGTACACATCAGGTAATAGGTTTCAACCTACGATTGTGCGTTGCACTTTCCGATAGGTCGAAATTCGTTGCCTGAGTTATCTCTAGCTGTTCCTATTCGAGTCTAGACCTTCACGTTGCATTGAGAGAAGAGATTGATGGAAGCACAATCACTTTTGCCAAGAAGCAAGCTAATACGATAAAAATTTAATTTCTAATAATAACGGTTTCGCCGCCTACCATTGACAGTTTGCCAAAGCACGGTTAAGTAATCGATGGCCGAAGGACAGTGATCCGCGTTGAAGGTGGCGTTATTTTGCGTCGTTGCGACGCGGCGCGGCGCGCGGTTTTTTCGCTTGCGAGCCGAACGAACGCGGCGAAGCCGTGAAGAGAATCAATACTCTCATGTGCGAGACGAGCGCGGGTTCTTCGTTCGGCGCCCAACTGTCGGCCATCGACCGGAAGATTGCACCACGGAAGCGCATGTATTACATCCCGTGTCGCGCTTCGCCGGCGCATCGTGGAAAATCCGCGGTCGAAAACGGTCCGATTGCTCGTGAATAATTGAATCTTTCGCAATTAAGAGAAAGCCCCGAATTAAACTTGCAGAACACAATGATAAAGGTATCAACGATCTCTCGAATAATCGACCGGATACTAACTCTTACACACGTATGATTTTTGTGTCTCGGCTTAATTTCCATCGCTTTAATAAATATACAAAAATTAGTAAGTGTTTCTTACATATATACCTTATTAACATCTTTACAAGGTTGTGTATTGAAAAAATTGTATACTACGTTATGATTAATTATGAGTATTTCGAAGAAAAGAAATGTCTAGGACACGAATGAGCCAATCGTCGTGTATATTGAGAGTTAAGCAACAAGGTTAATACGATGCTTTTTAGAGAGGCAACCAAGAAAATATAACTTTACAAGTTATAGAGCTGCTATAGTTTTTTCGAATACTAAAACGTGCTAGTAAAAAAAAGAAATTGTAAAAAGTATTGATTTTTTGACCAAGTTTTAACTTCTGATGAAGAGTTGAAAGAAAATATGCCGGGCATCTTGCGTAACCGTAAATATAAGGGGACTTGAGAAAGGAAATCTTGATTTCTCGATCCACGTGTATAGAAATTTGGATGCAGTATTACGAAAAGCATGCAGTATTACGGAGAAAATTATATTCGCGATGAAGCAGTGGGCTCGCGTAATAATCTTCTGTTTCATTCGAGAATCAATAGAGACGGATATCTCGCTGCATTCTCGCAAAATCATCAAACTTAATTAACTTGAAGCATAGATATACCACTTTCAAAACAAACAGCGTAGTTATCGGCCGCAACGAGGTCAGTCCTTCTGCTCACGTCACTTCTCTCTCGTTGCGTGCGTTGTAAAGAAGAAACAACGCGTCGGGGAACCCGTTATGCCGCCGGCATGGCCGCGAATTCCTAAGGCCGGAATTTTAATTTCGCAATCCTGTTAGCGCTTCGCGACATTCCAACGCCCGAATGACTCGCCCTCGTTACTCTACAATCGCATACGATTTTTAACTGCTGTTGAAATGCAGTATGCATCAAGAAGACGCTCGCCCATGGTGCTGCTGATGATTCTTCGAACAGTATAAAAGAGAAAACTTGAAATTTTTTTTAACAATCTATACTCAGTGGACACGCAGAGAGAGAGAGAGAGAGAGAGAGAGAGAGAGTGAGTTTGCTTTCCTCAATCTCAGGGATCGGTCGTTTTTTTCCTATTTTTACTATTTTAATCTCGCTGATTATATTCTTCTCTTCGTTCGGCTCTTTGCGAGAGCCGTCCTCTTCTTCTTTGCTGGCCGGTCGTCACATGCAGGCCACTTTCGTACGGAGGTCTCCTTCCAGCCGACCTGATTCCATCCCAGCAGCCCGACCTACGCGCATCCGTGTGTGCGTGGGTGTTATCCAGAATAGCCCGGGGGTCGATCGATATCCCGTGCAACGTGGGTTGTTGGCCTGATTTTCACCTTACGAGTAAACGGCTGCCCTCTCACGACGAAAATCGCAAAGCGCCGACTACCCGCGGTTTGTAAACATCCGGAAGGAATCAAACGAGAAAGTATGCGGACTTTTGTCTTTGGCGCCTTTTTTAACTCCCTGGAGGTAACTGGTCAAAGATGTCGATTGAACAAATCTATTTTCTTCATCTGTAAATTTGGATGAAATTTAGGACTCTTATTCAAAATTTCATTGAAATTTAGATTCTTACTAATATATCTAATATTAATTCTTCTTTACATGAGTTATGGCATTTCTTGCGAAATTAAGTGCGCCTTTTAATGAATACAAATTAAATGAATCTTATACGGACTCGGCATCAGTAAGTGCTGCAATGTTGCAAATTTTGGCGTCAGCCTTCCTCCGGAAGGTTGACTTCTTCCTGATCTGTACAGATTGATATAGGTACACTTCTCTGAATGAAAAAGGAACGTACGTGCCACTTGCATTGCCTTCACGTCCTCTTCTATTCTTGTCAGGTCTAAACGGAACGAAAATACGCTCATGTGGACCGGCTAGCCGTTTCTCGGCTCGGTTGCCAACTACCAATTCGCGGACTGGTTTCGCAAACCGGTGCTCGCGTTTCTCGAGGGCTAATCTTAGGATTTAATTGTTCGCGAGAGAAAATGGACTCGCCTTTAAGGGAACCGTATCGCACAAAACAAAAGGCGAAATGCAAATGCGGAGATTTTGGATTCGCATATATTGAATTCCTTCTCGGATAATTATTGTTCTCTGCGTATAATATTGAATAGTTATGATTTGTTATATATAATGTTTCATAATAGTCAGTTACAGAGTCAGATATTCTTTAATTTCTTACTCTAATTAGAATGATAACGTATTTTTCCTGATATTGCATGTCTGCGTACTATTATAATTAGAGATAAGTAAATTAAAGGCTAAATTGTCTCAAGGAATACCCGTATAGCGTTCTGCAGATTGGAGTGCGATCATTAATGAAGGAACATTGTGCCATCCATGACCAATTAGCTGCAGTCCTTGAAGGTGACTTGCGAAATGGAAACCTCCGCACAGATTAGCAGAGATTAGTTACCTGCTAATTCATTCATGTGAACGCATATCGGAAAGTGTACGTGTTTCGCACGGAAATACTTTACGTTAATGGAATTAACGCAGTTTGTAATTTTCCGGATTCATTAACAAATATTGATAAATAGATGCGTGTAAAATATTGCTCAATAACTATCTGTCGCATCTATGTATGGAAAATTCTTGTATTTACGTTAAAACAATTTGCTTTACAAATTGACAAAAAATTTTTACACCCTTTACAAATTATTTTACAATTTTTCCATTTAGGACACGCTTACCATTTCCAAAAGCTTGTTTCCTTTATGCCAAAATTATGAAAATCCGAATCGATCGTAGCTTTGCGCAAAAGTTGCGCACGTATTATATGTATATTGTCTCCTAAGACTGACATCGACCGGTTTCACACAAACGTTATCGCGAACAGACACACGCCGGAGGGGCTTCTTCGCGCGCGCGAGAGACGTTATAAATAATTCTAGGCGAGAGTGTCGTCGTATAACATCGTAGAATCGACGTTATCTGCATCGTCGTTGACGGTTATGGCGTCATTCATTTCGCGCGCGTAGACGTCCTCTTCCGCCTCGAGAATCTGCTTCACGATTCGAGGCGTCATCATCGTCGTCGTCGTCGTCGTCGTCGTCGTCGTCGTCGTCGTCGTCGTCGTCGAGGATAGACAGAATGATTTATAACCGTGACGTTAAGTCTAGACTTAAGTGCTTGCTACTGGAGAAAAAAAATTGTGTGAATAATTATGCAGTATTTCTTTCTTAAAATCTTTAGAATATTTCCATTATGAAATGTCTTGGCAATTAAATGAGCAATAATTTTTACGAATTTCTCTCGAAAGATCTCGCGTCCTGAAAAATTTATGTCTTAACAGATATTGATGCAAAATCATTGTTCATAACTTATTCGTTTTACTTTACTTGGACTTTAGAGCGATAAGTTGATCTTCTTATATGAGATAATCTACTCTCCAATAATAGTACGCAAATATAAAGAATTAGACATCGCACGTAGTGTATGCATATATATATATATATATATA